TGGTGTGAAAGTCAGATACATTGGGGTACTGTGAGTAGTTTTTAAAAATCTTTAAGTTTTGGCACCACACCAGGAAAAGTAGGGCTTACTTTGAGTGACTCCAGTGGGTTGTAACACACTCTAGGATTCTTTTGAGTCACCTTTTTGTTGGCTTGTAAACATTCCCAGTCTGCTGATTTACCAGTAACCTTTGCCACATGGTATGTTTTCTCTTGCAATTTGATACTGCCCTTGACTTCCTTGGTAAACCACAGTCAATGCATCCCCTTCCTAAATAAACTTTATCCACACTGGGATATATCTTCACTGAGAGTCATGAACTATATACTTAAGGTGGGGGGGGCTGGTTTGCGATGCAGCACAATACAAATAGTGTGGATTCAATTCCTGCAACAGCGGAGGTTACCATGAAGGACTGTCCTCAGTCTCTACCCTTGCCTGAGGCGTGGGGACCCGCAGGTTAAATCACTACCAATAGTCTCTATCTGATGAGAGAACAGCCTTATGGTCCGGTGGGTCTATGGCGACTTTTTTATTTTCTTAATAATCTGCAATTATTCCTCAAACATCATTTCCGCTAAACTTCTTCCGCAGTCCATTCCAGTCAGCTCTGCCATCAACCCTACATAATTACCCTTATTTAAGCTTAGTATAGTTGCTTTCAATTCAAGTTTCTCACTCTCAAACCAAATGCTAAGTTCCACCATATTATGGTCTCTGTTCCCTGGGGGATTTTTAACTCTGAGATAATTTATTAAAATTACCTCATTATCTGATCTAAAACAGCCCGACCCTTATTGGATCCACAACATATTGCTGCAGGAAACTGTTCCTAACATACTCTATGAATTCTTCCTCATTGCTACCTCTGCCAATCTGGCTATCCCAAGCTAGCTGAAGATTAAAGTTACTCGTGGTTTGTGTATTGCCTTTTTAAACATGCCCTTATTATCTCATGATTTATACTTAGTTCTAAAAACAGCTGCTGTTAGGGGTTATATACGCAGAATTGTTATGGTGCAAAAGGAGGCCATCGGCCCATTATATCTCCACTGGGCTCTTCAAATGAGCACAATTATCCAGTGTCAATCTCTTGCTTTCTTCGTTTTTCACTACATGTTGTATCAACCTAAACAACTGTCCAATATCCTTTTGAAGTTCTCAATCGAACCTGCCTCCACAACACTTCCAGGTAGTGCAGTTGCATTCTAACTCCTCACAGAGTGAAAATGATTTATCTCAAATCACATTTTCTCCTTTTGAAAATCATTTTAAATCTACACCCTCACGTTCTTGTTCCTTTTATTTCCACTGATGTCTTCTTCACCTTGTTATTTCTAACCTCCACCCATATAGACTCTCCATTATCCGATATACCAGATCATGCACAGGTAGCTTTGAACTCAAGCTCGATGAACATCATTTTTGGGCTACATGGGCTGAAATCTGCTCAACACTTTCACCTCTTGACCTGTCTCCCTTCATCCTCGGTAAAACTGGGAGTTCCTGTTGCCACTTGGAATTAAAAAGAGGCCAATTACAATTTTCCAATTGATCTCAGCCTTCCCATGGGTGGCGAGGGAGTATACCCTCTGCCTGGAGGCAGCCTTCTGGTGAAATGCCAGGGGCTCAGCACCCCATGCAGGCAGACCCATAAAGGCCCTCTCTGGCTGTCTGAGTGCAGTAGAAACCGCAAGTTGCATTGTGAGAGGACCCCACTCCCAGCCGCAAGTTCCGATTTTTAGTTTGCATTAAAATTGGAGAAAGGGCTCCTTCATTTTGAAACACCTCCTCCTTTACTCAGCTTCCATAGCAGTCTACTGCTTCTTCCAAGAAATTGGGGGTCAGTTAGCTGGATGGCTGGTTTGCGATGCAGAACGACACCAAAAGTGTGGGTTCAATTCTCGCACGGGCTGAGGTTTCCATGAAGTAATCTCCTTCTCAACCTCTCCTCTCTCCTGAGGTGTGGTGACCCTCAGATTAAACCACCAGTTGTCTCTCTCTCTCTCTAATGAGACAGAAGCCCGATGGTCTGGTGAGACTGGGGTGACTTTTGCCTTTTAACTTTCAAGAAAGAAGGCTTCTGATTGGCTTTCTAACTTCCAGCAATATGCCCTACTGGATAGCAAGTCTGCCCTCTAGAAATTAATTGGTTGCCCTCGGGAAAAATATTCCGTATTTTTCAGCTTTCATTTTGGCCCAACAACAGAGTTCAGGAGCTTACGAGGTAAATCCTACCCCCGTGTTCAAAAATTTGCATTTTCATCATCTTCAAACTGCACTCTCAGTCATGTTCAATCTCTATTATTTTACCCTTTGAATACACATCTTATTTATTCTCCAGATTTTTGAGATACAAATCCTGAGCTATAGGCTCCAACTGCTGCTGTCAAAGTGAAGTCCCTCCAACAGCTAGGGCTTCCAGGATTTTAAGTCCGAACAAAGCTATGCAACAGTTAAGTGGACAGTGTTACTGGAGTAATTAGTTAGGTTGGAGGAAACCCAAGAATACCTTTCAATGGAATAAGTCATACCAAAGTATCCCAAATTGATAGTAAAGAAAGCTTCAGATAAATTATTGATTAATCTCATTGATCAGTTTCTGAAATAGTGAATCAAGAATGGTCCTGAACTACTTCATTTTGTTCGATTCTGAAAGACCCATACCCTTGCTCCCATCATCTTATATTGGCACAAGCTGCATTGGTTTGTTTGAACAATTACACAGCAGTATTATGAATTGTTAGTGATGGCACAAAAATCATGCACATACATTGAGTGATAGACAACTCTATAACTCTCCCTGGCAACGGCCTGAAATTAAATTCATCTGTTTGCAATACTGGTTGATCCAGAGATGACTTTCAGACCCTGATTTTGGTGCTATCACTAAGATTGCCTGTCTCCAGCCCTGTAATATTTTTCAATTTTATTCTGATCTCAGCTCATCTGCTTCTGAGAATGTCAATCCTGCCTTTGTTACTCTAAACAGGGTATTCCATTGCCCTCCTGGCTGGTCTCCCACCCAAACCCTCTGCCACTTGAGGTCATCACATTTGCTGCCATATCTTTACTACACCAAGTCCCGTTAGCTGACCACATGTGTTTCACTGATTTACGTTGGCTCCTGGTCAAGGGATGTCTTAATTTTAAAATTCTCATCCTTGTCTTGCCCCTCCCTGGCTTTTTCCCTCCTCATCTCTGTCATCTCTTCCAGCCTTACAAACGTCTGAGCTAAGAGGGGGGCACAGTGGCTTAGTGGTTAGCTCTGCTGTCTCACAGCGCCAGGGACCCAGGTTCGCTTCCAGCCTTGGATGGCTGTCTGTGTGGAGTTTGCACATTCTCCTTGTGTTTGCATGGGTTTCCTCTCACAGTCCAAAGATGTACAGGTTAGGTGGATTAGCCATTGGAAATAAAGGGTTACAGGGATAGGGTAGGGGAGTGGGTCTGGGTGGGATGTACTTCAAAGGGACAGTGCAGACTCAATGAGCCAAATGGCCTCTTTCCACGCTGTAGAAATTCTATGATTCTAAGTGCTCCCCTCTATTTCTGGTCTTTTGTGTAGTTTTAATCACTTCACCACTGGTGGCCATGCCTTCAGTTGCCCAGGCTTCAGCTCTGGAACTCTCTCCATAAACACTCCCATCTCTCTTGACCTCACTTTCATCCTTTAAGACTCTTCTCTCTCTGCCTAAACTTTTCGTCATGCGCTTATATGGTTTGGGTCACACTTTAAGTCATAGAATCATACAGTACAGGGGAAGCCCTTCAGCCCATCGAGTCTGCACTAACAAAAACTACTCTAAATCTGCACTTTCCAGCAATGGCTCTTGCCTTGAATGTTATAACATTACAAGTGCTCATCCAAGTGCTTTTTAAAGGTTGTGAGGTTTCTAAAACTTACTTCAAGAGGTGCCTTGATACATTTGATCACATTCAAGACACTAAATAACTATGTTGTTGTTAATCTATTAGTTGATTAAAACAAAATTATTTGGTAACTGTCATTTCCTTCTCTAAAGCAAAATTTCCTCTTCCCTCAAAGCAAAGTCCAGGCAGTCCACGGGTTGCAAATGGATTCCGTCCTGGAGTTCATTCGCAAGTTGATTTGTATGCAAGTCCGAACATGATGCAGGACAATATAAAGGAGCAGTTTATATGTCAGGTCTTTAAAATTACACCCTTACAATGGGATCGTATTTGTAAGTCCAAGTGTAAGTCAGATGTTCATAAATTAGGGATCCCCTGTACAGCAGATTCTGGAAATAGACAATCAGAAGAACTAGTTGCAACTGTGCAGAAATAAAAATAAAGGAATGAAACTTATATTTTTATTTTTTGCAAGTTCTGTCAGATTTTGTGGAGGGGTTGCGACCACGAGGCCTAGCGAGATGTCTCGCGAAACACACCTCATTATCTATTTACCACCAACCCCTCCCCCTCACTCCCTGTAGCACCCTCACAGCCAATTCTAGTCCCATCTTACCATGTACCATTGCCAGAACAACTTCCCACTCAGCAGATATTCGCCAAAAGACCGGCATGCCTTGCACCATCTTTAAAAAGCCTCTGCATACCTGCTGGCAATCCGTCAATGCCTCTCACTAGCAACATCATGGTACAGTAACAAGAAGGCCAGACCACCCATGACACAGCCAGCATGGCTAATGCTCTCTTACCCATACAAACCCATTCTCTCACTTTAGTTGCCGTCTGAACAACAGGCCATGCAGTTTACCTGTTCATAGGTCTATCCTGCATGAAGACCGCCCCTCCCCCCATCACCACCCAATACTCTTTCCCCAAAGCCCAGCAATCACCCACATTTCACCATTATGCTGCAAGGAAAAATCGCAGCTAGGTAATGTTTGGACAAAACATGAGCTTTAATTGACAGCCAGTGAAAGGGAGCACAAATGAATAGTGGCGGCAGTTCGTCCTCACTAAGTGAACAAAATGCTTGTCTCTTGACCTCAACAATCCATGATCATTGTCTGTACCCATTTTGGATCCACTGGAACCAGCTGTCAATCAGGTCCTCTCTGCCTTGTAGGGCCCAATGCAGTCAGCCCTGTCATCCATAAGGAGGGCTTCCTCTTCCTCATTCTTCACCTTGGATGACTGTTCTTGTTCCCCTGGATCCTTAGCATCTATCACGTCACCTCGTTGCCTGATCCAATTGTGCACTGTACATAGCCTATTACATGTAGCTCTGGAATCCACATTACAGGAGGCAAGTGATTTCACTGGAGAGGATTTACCAGGATGTGGACTGGGCTGGAGAGGTTTAGACATGAAGAGAGATTGGACAGACTGGAGTGGCAGAGCAGACTGACAGGGGACACTATTGACACATATAAAATTATGATGGGCACAGACAGGAAGAAAAAGAGGGCAATCAATGACCAGGGACATAGATTTAATGTAAGGGGAAGGAAGTTTAGAGCGGATGCGAGGAAACTTTTTTTTTACCCGGAGGATGGTAGGAATCTGAAACTTACTGCCTGTAAGGGAGAAACCTTCATAATATTGGAGAAGTATTTAGATCATACAAGGCTGTGGGCCATGTGCTGAAAAATGATATTAGAATAGTTAAGTGGAGGTGTTTGACCAGCACAGACACGGTGGGCTGAGGGGTCTTTTCCTGTGCTGTCAAACCTCTATGACTTTGTGTCCAACCATCCAGTTTTCCTTCCCTGTTTCAGACTGCTGGCATTTTCCAATGTTTCCAATTCCCATCAGAAAAAAAAAATCATTCATTCACACCTACCCTCCCTTCCATCTGATGTTCTTGCTGGTATAAACCTCAGTTCATTGCCACCCTCTGGATCAGCTTTTCCAAGAGTCTCCTGACCAGCTTTCCAGCCCCGGCTTATCTGAGATTCTGCTGCTCAGATGTCCCTCACCCCTGACTTTGCTGATTTACTTCAACTCCAGGTTCCCCTAAAATCCAAATGCAAGACAGAGAGAGATTCAGATTTCTACTCCCCTTGGAGTAAAGAAATCCTTCCTGGTGTCATCTTCTGAATGGTCCTAGCTCAGATTTTAAGGTTATACCTGTTGTTGTTGACTTGCCCCAGCAGAGAAAATAATTTTACTCTACTTTATCAAACCGTTTAACCATTTTATGCAGTTAGAGCACCATCTTCTATACTCAAGGGAATGTAAGCCATGCCCCCATGGAAACTGTCCTTCAAATGTAGCCCTAATTAATCCTTTTAAGACTTAAGACTGTTAGATCAGAGTGTTATCCACCATGTGGCATCCGGGAGCCCAAGCAAAACTAGACTTGATGAAACTGGAGGGAGAATTTTCTACTGGGGGGTTGGTATCATACTTGGCATAAAGGAATATGGTTATGATTATTGGAAAGGAGTCATCTCAGCTCTAGGACATCTTTGCAGGATGTGATTTCTGACAATCTGCACTGCACACTCTCGCTGGCCAGTGTTTTCTTCCTATGGACTAGTGCCCAGAGTGAACGCAGACGCGGGCACTGTGGCCCTGGTTTCTGCAGCTATCAGGTCGAGTAGCAGTGCCCACGCACAAACCAAACAGCTATCTCACAGAAATGCAACAACGGGAGAAGCACTAATTGCTTTAAGATGAGACTTTGCCCTGTTTTTCTAATAAGCATGCCTTAAAGAGCTACTGAGCAATTGGATAGGCCACATTTAAAGTGATTTGCAAAAGTAACAAAAGAGGATGCGAGAAAAATACAGTTTCACATCACATGTGGTTTGGGTCTGGAATTCACTGCCTGGCAGTCCAGTGCAGGCAGGTTCAATCGAGGCATTTGAATAGAAACAATGTGCAAGTGTACGTGGCAGAAAGCAGGAGAATGGTGCTGAGTGATAAAGCTCATTTGGAGAGTCAGTGAGATACAATGGGCTGATTGGCCTCCTCCTATGCAGTGACACTTCAGTGATTCTGTGATGCATTTTAAGCAGCAATTTGCACAGTCACAGCATAATTCCCACTCTGCTCATCCCTGGTTCCAAGCCTCTCATCGTTTTCTTTTTAATTCATTCATGGGATGTGGGTGTCATTGGCTGGGCCAGCATTTATTGTCCGGGCCAGTATTTATTGCCCATTCCGGGTTATCCTGGAAAAGGTGGTGGTGAGCTACCTTCTTAAACAGCTTCAGTCCACGTGCTGTACCTAACAATGCTGTTAGGGAGGCAGTTCCAGGAGTATGACCCAGTGACACTGAAGAAAAGGTAATATATTTCCAGTTGGGATGATGAGCAGTTTGGTGGGGAACTCATAGGTGTTGATGTTCCTTGTCCTTCTAGTGGTCCTGGATTTGGAAGGTCTTTCTCAGGAGCCTTAGTGAATTTCTGCAGTATTGCTTATAAATGCTCCAAACTGCTTCCAAAGGTCAGTAGTGGAGGGAGTGACTATTTGTGGATGTGGTGTCAATCAACTGGGTTGCTTTGTCCTGGATGATACCAAACTTCTGGAGTACTGCTGGAACTTCAAGTCATTTGGGGAGTATTCCATCACACTCCTACCTTGTGCTTTATAGATGGTGGCCAGGCTTTGAGGAATTAGGTGCTGAATTGCTCACAGGAATCCTAGCCTCTGACCTGCGCTTGTTGCCACAGTATTTGTATGGCTAGTCCAGTTCAAATTCTGAACAACTTTAACCCCCAGAATGTTGATATTACAGGATTCGGTGATGATAATGCCATTCAATATAAAACGGCAATCATTAAATTCTTTCTTGTTGGTGATGGTCATTGCCTAGCATTTGAATGGCACGAAAGTTGCTTGCCACTTGTCAGCTCAAGCCTGGCTATTGTTCAGGTCTTACTGCATTTGAACATGGACTGCTTCAATGCCTGAGGCATCGCGAACAGTGCAATGTTCAGCACTAGCATCAGCAAATATTCCCACTTCTGACCTTATGATGGAGGAAGGTTATTGATGAAGCAAGCTGGATTGAGAACACCACTCTGAGGAATTCCTGCAGAGATGTGCTGGAGTTGAGATGATTGACCTCCAACAATCACAACCATCTTCCTCTCTGCAAAGTATAATACCAACCAGTGGAAAATCCTCTGTCCATTTCCACCAAGCCTAGTTTTGCTTGGTCTCTTTGACGCCACACTGTAGAAAACACTCTGATCTATGGCCTGACACTTCCCCAAAAGACAGCAATTTGGACAGTTTAACATTGCTTTAGTACTTTCGCTGGAAGATCAAGCTAGACCATGTGCTTAGGTTTCTGGAATGAAGCTTCAAGTCACGATCTTATTACATGAAATCAGGAGTAGGCCATTTACCAACAAGCCTGTTCTGCCATTCAATTAGACCATGACTGATCTAATTGTAGCCTTCACTTTATTGACTGCTCCCAATACTTTGTCAATCAAAAATCTGTCTAATTCCAGGCTCTAGTATATTCAATGTCTCAGCCTCCAAAGCTTTCTGAAGAGGAGAATTTCTGATGTTAAATACCTTCAGAAAGAAGAAATTTAACCTTACCTCCATCATAACTGGAGAACCCTATCATTTAACTGTGTCTCCTGATTCTAGATTCTATGCAAATAGGAAATGTCCTCTCAGCATTTAATTTACCTTAGATTCCAATAAATATAGGTCAAAGCAGCCAAACCTTCATTCCCTTGTATAGGTTAGATGCAAGCAGAAGGTTTTCCCTAGCTGGGGAGTCTAGAACCAGACGACAGAGTGTCAGGATACAAGGTAGGCTATTTAGGCCTGAGGTGAGAAAAATTTTCTTCACTCAAAACCTGTGGAACTCTCTACAGCAGAAGGCTATGACGGCCAACTCACTGAGTATATCTGAGATTGTGGTATATCTTGAGATTTCTTTGTGATTTTAAAGGCACCTAAAGGGTACAAGGAAAAAGTCAGAATATAGCATTGAGATAAAGGATTAGCCATGGTCATACTGAATGGCACAGAATGTTCAAAGGGTTGAATGGCCTACTACTACTCCTTGTTTCTATGATTCTATGTTTCAAACCAGAAATCTACCCAGTGAACTTCTCTGAACTGCTTCAAGCGTAAACTTCCTTAAGGAGATTGTTGAAGACTGCACACAGTACTCTGCCCACATGATAAGGCTGACACTAAAGCTATTGATTTTACTTCGAAGTTAGAACATTTGAACATATTCATCTACATAACAAGTTAGCATTCACATATCTTGACTCTGCTGAAAGTTCAGAGGAAGCAAGTGGATCAGGTTAGGCCAATATGGAGATGGTACAAGTAAAAAGTGTTTGCACTGTCAATGAACAAACAAATCGCACAGTTAGAGGGCTACAAGAGGGTGGTTAAAAGAGCTCATCTCCAGTCTCTTTGTAGTTTGATTTCAGTCGACAGGATTGATGGGGAGTGGATGGAAAGAAGTTGTGTTTGGGAAATTGGAGGGGGTGGTTGTAAGAGTTGTGTTTGGGCAGGAGGGGGAGAAGTTGATTGGTAAATGGAGAGATTGTGGTTTGCGGAGGAAGGGAAGGAGTTGGGGGGATAGCGAATTGTGTTGGGCGAGAAGCAGTGTTTGTGGGGAAGGGTCGTGATTCCCAGAACTGTAGAACAGAAACTGTCCGAGGAGCCCGAACTGTCCCTTGCTCAGTAAGTCGCCCTTACGTTCACCGGAAAGAGAATCTCGGCGCCACGGTGCTGGAGTCGGCAAGAAGGGCCGAATAGCCGCGGGCACAGTGGGGGAGGGGGTTTCTACAGGGAAATCTCTGCGGTTCTCGGTATCACTCTTTCAACCCAGCCTAGCCCCGGGCGGAGTGAAAGCTTCGAGCCTCCTGAACCCCCTCCCTCTGGCCCTTTGCCCTCTCCCTGGGGGATGTTGGGAATAGGCTCTCAGTCTGTTCACCTTCTTCCTGGTGTCCTTACCTGCCAGGCCTGTCCCAGGGAGATCAGCTACATTGCCCTATCCGCGTTGTTCTTTCCTGCCTACATCCTCTTCCGTGTTGCAAAAGAGCCTATGAGCGCCGCCTATTTGGGAAATACCCTGCAACAAGATCAGCTCCAGCACCTACTGTCTTTTCAATGTCGAGCAGTTGTTATAATAGTCGTGTGTGTGTGTGTCTGCTGTGTATCTCCAAATTTTTATTGACATTTTGTTCCTTTAAGACCAGAAAGCTATACGTGTGCATTTCATGTTAGCTCGGTTGTCTGCAATTTCTGCAGATGACTTCAGTGCATTGAAACAAATTTGCAGCTTTTGTTTGGCCAGGAAATGCTGACCTCCTTTAAGTTAACAGTTCCAGTAAAAAGCAGATGTTATCGATATAGTTCGAGTTGAGCGGTGACGATGTTTA